TTTTTCCTGGTAAGTCATACCAGAAACTCTTCTTATGAAGATCACATATCAGTACACAGACACATTCACATATTTCTTCAACTAATTAAATTTTTTTTTCTTTACGGAACTTGTGAACTTGAAAAAAGAAGCAGTAACTATATTTCATAGAAATGGTTTTGCAAAAAACTTGTGTTTTCTAATTTTTCACTTATAAATACATAATTCATGAAAAATGTGATTAGTCTACTCTAGAATCAAAACGTTCTCTCTGCCTATGATTAAAGAACAGTTAAAACAGTTCTTCTGAAAAGTAATAATATGTTTATTTTTATTCATATTATTCTCTTTATTCATTATAGCTTTATTTCTTTTTTAATAGCATACAAAGCGGATTACGAATATAGAAGCATGTCTCTTGGTCTAGGACATAATATAAGAATAAGAGCGAGTAATTTTTTTTTTTCAAGCTTTAATTATATATTATTGACAGTAGATTTGTTCCGATTTTTTTTATCCTCGCGTAAGTTCATATATAGATTTTTAATGAACTCATTGTTTTTTTTTTCATAGTTTTGACATTGTTTGTAGTTAGTAGATTCGCTTTAGACAAACATTTTCTTTCTTTGTAAAAATAAATAATGTATTTGTAAACTATCGATAATTATATAAAACAAAATATTCAGATCATAATATAAGTTACAATATTAAATGAATTTACATTCGAATTAGGCATGTACCGAGCTTTTTTTCGTTACTTTCAAACACTTTTAGTTCAAAACCTTCAGCTCTTAAGTAAAAAGCTGAATCATGAGGCCTAACCTATCAAAAGATAGACCAAACATCGCTCTACAAAATGAGACATACCCAAGCCCTGTGCAACAACGCCTTCAGTTTTTATAGGAATTTTACAAACAGACCCCGACCGAGCCTGACCGAGCCCGAGNTTGGTTGAGTTTTTTTGTATTGACAAAATGTTTTTATACTTGTTATAATGAAGAAAATTAATAGAACAATTTGGATTTGAAATTAGCATTAGAAGGTGTATCATTTTTAAAGAATGTAATATATATTTAACAAAAAAAAAAGATTATTTTGTAAATCAATTCATTCTTTATTTAAAGATTTTTCATGACCTATCAATACATTTAAAAAACTTGGGAAATTTATTTCATTTATGGTTCATGTAAGATTACTTCCGAAAACAAGGGCAACTTCCGGGATTTATTTTGTCAGGACTTTTCTATGTATTTTATCATCACATGGAAGGGGTTAGGCTGAGGAGAAGTATCACCTAGCTGAGAATGAAGATAAGAATGATGCATAGGGCGACGTACCAGCAGTAGGTGAGAGCTAACTATTCTGAACTATGACTCCTTTTTAGTACAAGTAAAATGTGTTATGTCCTATCAATAGATAAATTCGCTGGTTTAAATAAACCCCGGTAGTCCTTCGAAAACAAGATAAATATTCTAGCATTTATTTTTCTAGTATTCGTTTAGTAACAATGATTTTAACTGTTATATTTCTCATTCTATGTGGATTTGTTGTTTATTTACTATTAAAAAAACTTCATTGTTCTCATCGTAAATTATTGCAATATACAAAAATAACTTTTATGTAAATTTATTATGAATAAACCTAATCATCTATCTTGTTGTATAGTAGATTATCCATCGTCTATTGTATTGGTTTTGTTCTCTGGTGATTAATAAATATAACTTTATTGATTCATTGATTTTCATTTTTTTTAAATTTTATCTAGGTTTACTAAATTTGTTATTCTTCTTCCACATGTCGCTGGTGCTTGTTCAGCTTGTAATGACTTGAAACAACAAAAACAAGTTTATAATTCAGTAAGAAAAAAGTTTTATTATATTAGAAAAATATTTTATGTCTCTTATTAGCTATTATTTGCTAGTGCATGGTTTAATTCGACTTTTCTCATAACAATGAATAATGAATCTATTGATATTGATCAGCTAATTGAGTAAAATTTAGATTTAAAAGAAAAACAAAAGAGCAGTTTATGAAGATATTTGTTTCTAGAAAGTGTAAACAAAATCCACCGTTATGGTCGATTAATGATTTTATTCGTTTGGCATTATTAAAGAATAAAGTGGCTAAAATAGATGTAGTTTGATTTGAATTATTTAAAAAGAATATTAATAAGTTGATTTTGTTTATTTTTAGAATATTTATATGGATAAAATGAATATAGTAAGATAATTTGAATATGAAATTATTTTTTATTATTCGTTTCAAACGAAATTAAAAAGTTTTCACTCATGAATAGTAGAGTTACTAACGAATTCTCGAAAAGTAATGTTGTGATGTACTGACTCAGTTACTGTTCCTCTTGTTGGTCTTTTCCTTCACTAGTTCTATTCTTTTCATTCTTTGGTATATTCCTTTCATTCTATGGAATAATCCTTTCGTTCTGTGGATTATTCCATTATGTCTCTTCATATACATATATATATATATATGTTTGTTCCTGAAATAGTTGGTTGGTTATCCTCCACTTCTACTTTCTGTTCGTGTTCTTCACCTTCTGTATTTCCTTGTAAAACTCACGTATTCAATAAACCAGATATTCATCTAAAGTCTCCGTTCTAAGAGTAACTTCAATACGTGACAAATGTGATAAAATTTTATATTATTTCCGAATATAGGTTCAAGATTTCTCTAGGACTTCTCGTTTAGGATTTATGAATCGACTTTTTTAAAGGCGCGAAAAAATACGTTTAGATGGAGGAAATTTACTGCATAAATTACAATATAAATTTTTAACATAAAATTAACGACGAAATTGTTCTCTGCATAGCCATATAAGAACTAAGAGTTACAAAACGATCGTTCAGAACCGTTATTCACTAATGACAAGTAGCTGGCAACAAGTTAATCATTAGTATACTATTTTATAGAGAAATGTTTGCCTTGTCATTTACTGTATTTGAAATAACTTTGGAATAAGTTTTGACGTGATGAAAGTTGTCCAAATTCAATTTGTGAGCATTGAAAAGATTAGTTCATAACTCTTAAACGAAAATCATAAAAAAACATTTTAAAGTCATATTTAGAAAGAATACAAAATTCTTATACTAACCTATGTAGTATGTTCAAATCTATGCAGGCAACTTTAAGAGGCTAAAAAATGTACGAATATTTTGTCAAATTAGTTTTCGATAGCACGTTTTTTTGTATTTTTTTGTTGTTATAAAGTCAAGATCAAGAAATATTATTCAATCAAAAATGGGATGGTTCTTAAACAAAGAATAGACTTTTCGTAGATTATCAAATTCTAAAGATTCTCAGTTTATTTAATAGTTTCTTTATGTTATCCTAACTTTCCGATAGTTTTCTTCTACTTAATACTATAGTTCAAGTCTAGTTTCTTTATCAGACTGTTTACATATTCATTTTGTTATTTTTTCGAACATTCAAGAAGTCAATAATGATATTCATTATCAATGTATATTCTTTCACCATGTGTCATTATAATCTGAAATCGTAAAAGTAGAAAATTTATTTGACATAAGAAGATTAAACAATTGTTAGATTTAGATAAAAGTATAGAAATAATATTAACTTTACAACTATAAAAATATTTCAGGACAGTAGATACTACTATTCAATATATATTTATATATATCGTGAAACCTTGATTAGTGGAAGCCTTCCATGTTCAACAAGGTCTCAATCCTACAAAACGATTTTCACTCGAAATGTTACATCTGCCAAAAGTGAGCACTTCTCTATTATGAACTTGAAAAGTCTTTACAGTTCCGAAATGCTATTTTATCCTCTTGTAAACGAACAAACGTATTCCCGATTTTCTTCTTCTCCGCTTCATCATTTCTAGCTAATGCAATAAAACTACTGCTCATTGCTTGTTGCAACTATACATATCAGGCAAAGCAATGACAACAACAGTGATAATAGTTCATTACAGTGTTAATTAGCTGATAAACCGAATATTTCACTTGATTCTATATTTAATATTTTAAAACAAAAAAAAACACAGAATATATAAATGATTATCAAACAAATTAAGATCCTAAACAAAAATTCAAAAGTTTTAACGTAATAAATCTTGATAAATATATATTTGGATGAATGGTAGAGCAACAATCATCAAATTCATATATATCGAGACCAAAACAATGATAGAGAACTTTGTGAAATAAAGCAAAGTTTTTGTATTCATAAATATTCAAATAAAGAAAGATGAACAATCGAGAGAATGACCTTGGATTACTTCAAACTATTCTTGGCACCAAAATATAATGTAGTTCGATATTTTTTGAATATTTTGAAAAGAAAAGCAGCTAGAAACTTGCAGATTCCCCATTTCAAAGAGAAAAATGAAACTTTGTTGTATTATTCGGACTATGTATTAGTCAAACAGATGATTTTTTGCTGTACATTTCGATGAGAAGTTTTCGAAAAAAACTTTCTGAACTAACAAAAAATTCCAACTCAGAAATCAATGGCAAAGACATTCCTCTGTCGATCTATACAAGGCCAACTCTTTTAATTTTTTCCATTCAAGAGTCATAGGTATCTTAGTGAAATCCTTGAAACCGATCGATTGATCACTTGGCACTTTAAACTATATTGATTTTGATGTATTCAGTTTTAGTTTTGAAGCGATCTGATGTTGAAAAGACAAGACCTTTAGATTATCTCATCCTAGCGTTAAAAGCTATGCATAGATTAATTTATAAAAATTAATATCTAGCACTTTATGATCATATTGAAACTAAAAACAAATACATCAAACTTAACATAGTTTAGAGTGACCAGTGGAAATATTGAATTGCATTATATTCTGATGCCGACTATAGTAAAGAAATTTATATTATGAAATTATTGTGCATTTCATAGTAACATATATGACATCTTCCATTAATAAATATCTCTCAATAGTGAATACAATTCAAAAGTCCCAACAATATCCATTTCAGAATATTTGATTGCATAGACAGAAATGTATTTTCAATTTATTGTTGAAATGGATGTTAAAATCAGAGTTTTCTTATCTATTTAAGAATTATTCTAAATATGAACAACAATTTGGTCATTGTCAAATTCTTCACGAACTTCATAACAATTTTACACAACTATTTTGTCATGCTTTTGTCAAACATCTAGTTTGTTTAATAATTCCAAATCTTGTTTTAGTTGTTCTTTTTTGTATATGTTAAATTTAATTTCTTTCTTCAATAGTTTCATTATTTAATAACCTCAATTATTACAACAATAAGTCATTTACTTTTATATTTAATAACAATTTTTCTTCGTCGATACGTTCAGTAAGAATCAATAATTTTTTAATAAATATATATTGAAATTATTTTGTTCTTTAGAAATCATAAATATGAATATAGTCATTGGTGTTTTTCATTGCAATCATCACCAATACTTAATACAGATCGTTCTATGATAATATCTTCAAACCAAAATCAACAAGATGAAATAGAAAAAACATTTGAATATCAAAATCATCCCATAATAATTCATTAAAATACATATAAAATGCTATTAATCATTCTTATATCTAGAAATTCTGTACTTGTATGCTTATCTTTTGATTTGTTCATGATGTTCGATCTGTTTTGAATTAATAAATATCTTTCAACTCGTGGTTTTCTTTCTTTCTTTGTTCTTCTTGTCTTCATTTATAAAATTCAATAACCTAAAAAAGTTATGCATCAGATTAATTTACTTAATAACATTAAAATAAAAGAAAATCGAGTAAGTCTTTAGAATTTGATAAATAATTTTCTATTTTGAAATTAATTTAGAATAGTAATAATGAAGAATATGAAAATAGAAAATCAATTTATTCAAGAAAAACAATTATTTTTATACTTATTGCTGTTATTGCTGGATTAAGTTTAATAGCAGCTATAATACTTATTTCAATTAGTAAGTATTTTTAATTTTTAATTTATATATACTATTGTTTTACTTCAGAATTCCATCAAATTCATCGTCTATCTCAAGAAGCATCCGGTGAAAATTTAGATACTTTATATATATATTTATTTCTAATCATGTTTTGCCCTTTTATGAGTACTGTTGTAGTTTCTATATATCAGCATGAAAAATATTCCAACTAAATTTAGATCATTTCTTTTTAATCTGAATTTGATGGAGTATTTATTAAGATTCAATATATTTTTCTATGATTTCTTTCTTTTTTTCTTTGCAGCATTTGTACGTCTAACATCAAGCTCTATGAATACGACAATACTTTCCACAATTACACGTACAACTGACAATCCTAATATAACTTTTAGTAATAATATATTACTCTCAGCTACAATGCCTATTACCATTACTACTATTGCAAAGACATTAGTAACAACAACAGCTATAGCTATGACTAATTTATCCGTTACCACGAAATAATGTTTTTCACAATAAGCATCCGCTTTTTTTTTTTGACTTCAGAAATTCTTTTTTCTTTGTATGCAGAAAAATAAACAATTCATTAGCTGTACTAATCTTTTACAATATATGTTCCCTATATACATTGTGCACGAATATTATTCAATAAGATTTATTTTCAACTTTTTTTTCCGTTGCCATAAGTGTTAGAAAAAAATGAAATGAATGATTCGAGTAGAGAAAATGGTTTCCGATGAAAATATAAGGAAATAAAAACTATTGTCAGATTCGTAAAAATAGGGACTAAAGAAAACCAAAAGGCTAGTATTTCAACATATAAAGCGCATAAATATAGTTTTGTTTAGATCACATAGAATGAGAGAGGAGACCATACTCTACAAAATGAGACATCGCCGAGTTCTCTGCTGTGTCTGTTTTCTAAGATAAAGAAATTTGTTTGCAGATCAAAAAAATAGCTTTTCTATAGGAATTTAGTAAAAGAACACCTTTAGGGACTTCCGTAAGATTGCTGTATTTCAGCTAGAAAACATTGTAGAGAATTTGGAGAAGTCTCATTTTGTAGGAGATTGTTTACAATATCGTGCTATGTAGTCTAAACAAAATTATATTTACCTGTTCTATGTGTTGAAATACTAACCCTTTGCTTATCTGGAGTTCCTATCTATGAGAACCTAATAATAATTTTTATTTCATTATATTCCTTTTGACAATAATTTTATCTATTCGAATCACTATTTGGACTTTTTCTAGCGCTTACAGTACCGGAAAACAATTGCAAATAATTTTGTATTATGAAATCATCACTTTTCAAACTATGAATATAATATTCAAAAGATAGATTTATTTACGAATAGTTGAATATGAGTATAAAAACAGTTTATGTTGAAATTAGTTTATCGAGCTAGGTTACGTTTGATAGTGAATCTATTCATCATAGACTTTTGAACATATACTAACCATCAAAACAATTTTTGATGATTGCTATCATTCAATTCTTTATCATGTCATTAGCATGTTGGGTTTGAATTCAAGATATGATGCATTACAATCTTTCTGTTTTTTTCTTATTCTTAATTGCTGATATCGTATTTGTTCTGCACATGTATCGTGTATTCATACAAAATACTATGAAGCTATGGACCTACAATTAGAGCTCTGCAGGGCAGGTTACGCAAGTCACAAGGTAGGGCAAGGTAAGGTTACACGATTTTTCACAGGGCACGTTACTGGGGTCATAACCTGCCAACTTGCGATTGAAATGTAGCCATCATAATGCTTTCAAAATTTCAACGGATCATAATTGTGGCTTTGAGCTAGATTAAGTCGTTTACAGATTTCTTCATTTTCAACGATAGTAATCTTTTATTTCTCTGTCAGATATTTCATTCCAGCACACATCATTAGCATGTATTCCGAATTTCCCTTCTGTTTTTTTATTCAGAAACTGTACTTTTCTCAATTTGGGGATTCCGTAGACTACTCTTGGGTGTTTCCATTATTAATAGGTCCGTATGGAAGAGGCTCTACGTATTACTTTGATTTACACTTGGATTAGTCATAAGAATGTAGAAGAATGACGGATTTTTCTATATAATAAAAGTTCTACCAAAATATCTACTGTCTGCAAAAACAAAGTAGCCAAGGCCATAGGTTTTTCTAGAGTAAATATCGTTTTTGTCAAATTGTTCTACCCTAAATAAACATCTGCTTACTTCAAATAGGATCTTCATCCAGAAGTTTAATATTATCTTATTTTCTTCGATGTAGTCAATTTTCATTTGTACCGATTACAGGTCAACTGAACTTTTCGGGAAAGAATCTGTCGTTTATATACTCAAGAAATTTTCTGCAGAGCAGAGCAGGTTACAGGTTGTGAAAAATTCGTACCCTGAAGGCCTGTATCTACAATTGAATACCATTTTAATCACCAGCAAAAGAAAAAAGATGAACACTTGAGAAAAGAAGAAAGAATGAGACGAAGATTTCTTATTATGAAACAATCCTGTGCTTAGCATAGCTAAATATTCGTTTATTTATGTAATTGATTAAACACAATAGGAAAATGTTGCAAGTTATTTTGTACGCAGAAAACAGACGAGAAAAACAGAGCAAATTTTTACGTTGAACTTATCGAACTAGAACACAATGAATAACAAAGCAAACGATATCCGTTTATAATGAACTGATAGTTAGAAAAATATTGAAAAAACAAACAGAAAATTTTTAAATAACACTAAACTTTTCATTTTGCATAAAACAAAATCAAATTTAAAGCTGATCAGTTTGGAACTATAGCGCAAAAAAAACATTTGCCTTTGTCATGAAAGGAATCTTTGATCATGATTCATATCTGTACTAACATAGTGGAAATTTACGCTGTCATTTTTTATGTTTATATTATGATATCTGTAAATTATTCGAGAGCTTAGATTTAAAAGATTTTATCTATTAAGCATACAAATATTGTACATGTTTGTCTTTCATAGTCATTGTATTGTTAACAATAAAGAATATCAGAAAAGCTAAAAACATAATAAGTCGATTTCATACAAATATGAGGCCAAATAACCTGTTACCACTAATTTTACATAACTATGCGGTATACATGTATCGCATATTCATATTGGTTACTTCCTTATTCCAAAGTGTAAAAAGTTAAAATTAATAATTCACAAAAAAAAAATACTTTTGTACTAAAGGATTACATGGATAATATTAACGATTGAGGCCTACTAACTCTACAAGGAAGAAATAAACTACCCAATAAGTCAATCCGTAAAGCAGTTGGCGTCTCATATACATCAGAACAGGTCTATGATCGAAGTCATTTGTTCTCAAACTATCAATTGCACCTGCTTTTCTTAATGATATATATCCATAAAAAACGCAGCAGTTACACCGTTGAAAAAACTTTTATAGTGTTCCTTTACAGATTTTAGCAGATGGAAATTTCGATTTCCACCAGAGGCTACACATAAATAATAATTTTCCATGGACGTACTCATACAAATGCCAATACCATTATATGACAGCTTTCCATTCTTCAGAATCATCAATTTCAAAAACTGTACAATTAAAAAGTCTTAGCTCAACAATAAATGTTCTGAACCCATGAGAATTCGAATCCTTCTTTCTTTATTTGGATGCATTTCACTCTGTATGAAGATGCCACTACGGTTCATGAAAGGACTGTATTAGACAATCGTCGTTTCCTATCATATATGATTCGTAAACGGTTTCAAATATCCACGATTTGTACTGATTCAAGGAAATACAATACAATCAATTGATTCAAACTGTATCATATGCCATGTGTTGCCTGAAATGCATAGTTTAACTCTGCATCTACCCAAACGTGATGCAACTTTTTCGTCTATATGTACTACTACTGCAAAAGTATACCTATCAGATTATAGCAACAAATGCATAGGTATAAAGGAACGTGTGCAAGAATATTGGAATACGGCTCTAGACTTAAATATATAATCTGAATGATTTAGTTATAAGGGTATAAGGCCAAGAATATAGATCAAAATATTTAGAGAAAAGGATATAAATATAATAGTATAGAAATAAGAGCATAAAAGTAGATAAGCATAATAGTGTAGATGTATGGGTCATTACAAACTTTTATTCTCGTCTTTACAAAAAGTTTTGATACGAAACCTTTTCTTTTCTTAATGTGTACGGGTACATGTATCGTTTTCTTTTTCCCTTTACTTCATCATCCTGTATTTTTCGAATGGATTTTTATTTTGATATTGTTTAAGTATTTTTTTTTCGCTTGTGTTCATGTTTTCTTCTATTACGTTTGATGTTTCTCTAACTCGTTTATTATAGATACTAATCGTTTAGAAAAGAAAAACAGAAGTTTATTTGAGATCAGTTATATTGATTCTCTTGTTAATAGCCTTAAACTTAAATTCTTATGAGAAGAAAAAAAGAATATTCAAACACGGATAGAAGCACCAAGAACAAACGCTTCTAACCGCTGTGTGAGAGAACAATGATTGATATAAGAATAACTTGATATAATTAATGAAACAAAAATGAAAAAGTTTAAATGAAAAAAAGTCTATCTAATTAAAAAATCAATTTCGACTAAAACAAGAGAATTAGCAACAATGTGCATCGCAATTATATAAGTAACAGTGATATATAGTTGATTATATATCATTTAAATACAGTCATCAGAATTATTTTCAGATTAAAAAAATATTTTCATTTCTATGATTTCTTTTAAATATGACAAAAACATGATAAAGTCTACTTCAATTTTAGAAGCTTCACTGAATTAACATTAATTTTCTATTTTAACAATTTTTATCTTCGCATCAGCACTTATATCTGTTCGTTTGTTAAGTAAATATTTTTTTCCTGTACTCTTTTCATACGTTCATGGCTCGACGTTTCCTTTCACAACTAATTAAAAACTTAATCATTTCAAATATCACACTCAACTTATATACTAATAATGAACTAATTCTTACAGATAATTTGACTGTAGAGTAATTAACATATGATTGTCACTTTAATTCTAAAGAAGACATTATTATATTTATTTATTCGCCTGTATTACACATATACTTATTGTAATAATTTGTCCATTATCAAAACTTTTCAAAAACAAAAGACTAAGTTATTACTAATCATCAAAATGTAATACAAATATTATCTCGAGTAAAAAGATAGAATCTATACGATAAATAAATTGATTAATCTTTCATTGAATACACGCTGTAGGAACTCGATTCTTTTCTTTTTTATTATTTGATTTAAATCGTTTCTTATGTAACATTTTATTTTCGATTATTAACAATTACTATTGTTTCTTCTTACAAAAACTCAATATTCATTACTTCTCTTTATGCTTATGCATATTAATGATCTTATTATATAAGTTTGTCTTGACTGATCAAGAGTCAAATGTTCATTACTATCTTTTTTCACATGATTTTTCCTCATTGACAATAGAGCACCGTAGGTTATTGTTTGTTATC